CAAGAATATGATCCAGTTACCATTAAAGATCTTTCCTCAATGATAGAATCATGGAACAGTTTGGGTTGGAAGGGACCTTAAAGATCATTCAGATCCAACCCCCCTGCTTGGGCAGGAGACCTCCCACTAGACCAGGTTGCTCCAAGCCCCATCCAACCTGCCCTTGAACACTTCCAGGCTGCTTCCTCAGCTGAGATGTAACCAACAGACACCCAGATTCCAGCCCTGGGGGACTAACCTCTTTTTCAACCTACATATTGTGCTTTATGCCAAGATAATTGACACACAACTGTCACTGATGTTACAGTACACCTGAAAAGAAAATGTTTCCTCATTTGGGTGGATGAAATCTCAGCAGAGTAAGTTGGATCTCCATGCAACAGTATGTCACAATATTATCACCACAACCCTTCTGGAGAAAAGAGGCCTGAAAGGACAAAATCTTGGCCATCTGCCTGAGCTTCCAGGGAACAGCCAAAATAATAATTCAGTTATATTGTCTATGCTACTGTAAAACTACATTAAATTAAAAATGTTTGAGTGCATTCAAAATTCAAAATTAATGTTCCTTGGAATGAACATGTTGTTTTACAATCAAGTTGAACCAAAAAAAAATAAAAATAAAAATTCAGTGTTCCTCTACTATTATGGTTACCATTTAATGTCATTTATTGTCATTAACACAATATTTGTGTCTAATCAATACTAAGCTACCAAGAGCAGTCATAACTAATCTGGACTTTCTCTACAGGCTCTATTGATTTCTTTTTTTGAGAGCTACAACAAACACAATTTATACAAATAATTTATCAGGGAACACATCAAAATAATCTAATAAACAAAACTTACATATTCCTTTTCTCTTTTGTCATGTGACAGGAAGTAATTTTAACTCATTACTGGTAATTATTTCATGTAAAAACAAGAGGAAGCTATGAAGTATCAAATTTAAATCTAAATATTTTGAAGTGTACTTCAACATGCAGATTAACAGTATTTTTTTTTTCATTTTTTATTTCCCAGCATATTACTTTAAAATAAATTTGATGATTCCTGTCCAGCTTTCCCCCCTTGGAATAACTACAATACACTGATACTGTAAAGTTTATGCAAGTTGCCACAATAATCTTTTTAGAGATCGCTAAATTACATCATTTTATCTAAATCCTACTCACCCAGGGAGTCACCAAATCAGAAAAGTTGATTTTTTTTGCTTTCTGCTTGAAGTGGTAGGTACCAGCCTTCCCAAACACACGGTTATAATATTTTTCAAATACCATTTCATGATGATAAAAAACCACCACCACTGCTCACACACACCTACACACAAAGGCTCAAACTACAGAAATGCTGGAGTTGGAACAGAGCAGCTGCTGCAGAAGAAGCACCCAGGAAGGAGGAAGACCAGCAGAATGGCACTTGTTACATGAATGTCCTGAAGAACAAAAGAAAGGAGTTCTTCCAGTGCTCTGTCACAAATATGAGGTCACATCTCTTTTTTTTAAAAAAAAATATCAAAACTTCATCAATAGTTCACTCTAGGAAGTGACTTTAGAAAATACCTTTCATCTAAACTTAGAGCTTGATGCATTCTCCCCTGTGGTAGTTTCCCTGGAATCCCAATGTAAGGCAAGACACAGGCACCTGGGTAAGGAGAGACAAAGCAGCAGCACCCAGCAGATCCAGGCCTGGCTCTTCCCAGCACACAGAACAGAAATCCCACTCATTGTTGCTGTCACCTTGAATTTCAGCTGCTCAGACACAGCAATCATATTACCAAAAAAAAAAACTGAATAGCAAAAATGGAAATAACTACAAAAAACAGAATTCAACTACAATTACTAAACAGAGAGACCACATGAAAAAACCCCTCCTGATTTCTACAAACTTTCTAACTTACCAACAATGCTTTATTTGCTTTACCCATAGAGAATGATAGCTCATTTTTATCTTATCTAATATTATTTCTTCAGTATTACATTAGAGGGCACATATGGATCCTTCTGGGAAACAGCACTTAAATTGCAATGAAGAAAGCTTCTTCTATTAAATAAAATTGAAGAGGAGGGGGGAAAAAATTATAAAGGAGACCTCAATATTGTTCCATGGCTACTACCTGCCTCCATGTGCCTTAAAGTCAGCAAAGAAATTTACTTACATGGTTTCTACTGATACATAAAAGAAGTTAAAGCAAAGAAAAAAAAAATACTTAGCTCTTGCTTGCATAACAACTTAAACTGCCCGTGTGTTTCAGCTGCAGCTTGTCAGCTCTGTTAAACACCTGAAAAAGTAAAAGCTCCTTCACAGCTGCATATGTATGTAATTAATGCATTTGACAAGCTGTTGTGTTCCCAAACAGCTGCTTCCATTATACAGACAACTTTACCATCTGCAAAACTATTGGGTAAACTACAGTAAGTAAATATCAGGGTAACAGGTGCTAATAACTAACAAGCACTGCCAAAATAACACACTTCTGCAGGAAAAGTTTTCAATTTTCCCACTGCAGTTTTTTTGTACCCCTGTAACTTCAGATACTCAGAGAAACTAGTGTTGGGACTACTAGGAGCAGTAAAATAAGGTTCAGGGCAAGTATCATTGAAATCACAATTAAGTGCAACCCATCTCTACTGGACTAAGCCAAAGAGTTAGGCCAGTAAATTTGCACCTAAAAGTGGGTCTTCTCACAATACAGAACCAGCCACAGCTACGAGTACTAACAAGGTAAATAAAACTGACCTTAATTCATATTGTCCACCACTACCAGCCTCCCCATGTTTTAAAAATGAAAAGAATACACAAAACATGCAACACAAAGTCTGTGTACCCATTTGCCCTGTATTTGATTAATGTCCTTTTGGAATTGCACCATAGACACAAAACTCGACTCCATCCATCCTCCCCTGGCAGGCATGGGGCTACTCATGCCATCAGTAATGCATGAACAATCAGGGAGAGGAAAATGCCCTTATCTCAGCTCATCAAAAATACAAGCAAGCAAGTCACAAAGGGGTCACAAATTAAAAATTAAATGCAGACAGACATCAAGTGTATTGACACATCACCACAGCTAAATTTTTGCTTCAAAGCAACAGAAAACACCAGGCACACAGAGTAAGAACAGAAGACAGCCAAAAGATGCAATGAAATAACACTTAATCAAGAAGTGTAGTTAGCAATGAAGAAATAAGCAGCAACAACACTGGCAACACCGGGGTCTTTGCTGCGAATGGTGAATCCAGCAGCTACACCCTCACACAGGCAACACCTGCTGTCAGAAAGCAGGCAATCTGTCCATGACTCAGGTCACTGCAAACCCCAGGAAGAATGCTGGTAAAGTGCAGAAGAGCAGTTAGGTAGAAAGTAGCTATTCAAATACAACTTACAGAGTGTCTTCTACTTTCACTGTAAAGAAGTCAAAGACAACAGAGATAAAAGAAAAAGAAAATACTGTTTTTCTCCTGGAACATTTCAGTGTATATGAGTGCAGAGGATACTGAAACTTTTTGCTTTCTGAAATCAGAATCCACTAGTACAAAAAACTGTTCTTCAAAGCTCCAAAACACTCTAAGTTAATAAAAATCTCCATTAGGACAACTCTGCCAAAGCTATCTCATTATCAACTGAGTTTACTCTTGATAATGACCTAAAGAAGTAATTAAATCACTGAAGACTCAACTGCATGACAAGCTTAGAAGTTTTTATGTATAAATGTTAGGTGGCTTTATTTTTTTTTCTGAAAGGAGCAAATTAGTTATTTTTCTGCAGTGCCAGTAACTTGCTAACAGCAAGAAACACAAGCAAACATGAAGCATTTTCTCCATTATTAAAACTCTACTTCAAAATCGTTCTGTCCCCTATTTTCCAACAATATCCAATTTCTATTCATGCTGAATTCTACTACTATTAGAAGACATTAACACATATTTGTATTCTGAAAAATAACTGTATAAACATTATTTGTGGTATTCATAAAAACATTATTGTATGTTAACTGAGACCACAAGGAGCCAGGCTGTTCTGAGGGAAATGAGAGGATCCAATATGCTGCAAAGACCCTACTCACAGGGAGGTTTGCTGTTTTCCTGGAGCCCAGGTTAAGGACATCAACAGAAAACATCCCAGTTTAGTGAGGTCCACTACTGATTTTCCATGTGGGTGAAGAGGAAGCAGCAAATAGTCCACAAACAATCAAGAGAAACTTCAGGGTGTTGGGACGATAAGAGAGAGACTCTGGGGTGCAGGTTTTCTTCTTCTCTCCTTCCATTTGAAAGCAGTGACAGTCTAAGGAACAGGAGGATCCAATCTATCAACACGTGGCTCCATGGCTGGTGTCACCAGCATAGTTTTGGGTTTTTTGATAATGGGATGGTCTACACGACACCAGGAATTCTGGCATCAAATGGCAGACATCTTTCTTAAAGGGGGAAGAGGAACAAGAGATAGTGGGGCTGATTGACAGAGCTTTAAACCAGATGTGAAAGAGGAGGGAGAAAATCATATCAAGATTGTCTGTGACAAGCGACAGGAAGACACACCAAGGTTGGAAGGACAGGGTGATAGTAAGCCTTCATTCTGCTGCCCTGAAGCATGCTACGGAGACTGCAACACAAGCAAAGTCTTACAGAGATGAGCCAAGGGCTCCTGAGGTAATAGGAGACAGCAGGGGGAACCAGGGAGACCTTGGGGGAATAAAGGAGTGTTCCTCTCAGAAGGTGAGACAGCCAGCAGCCCAGCTGAAGACCTAGGGGTACTAGTGGATCAAAAGCTGGACATGAGCCACCAATGTGCAATTGCAGCCCAGAAGGCCACAGAAAAGTCTTATCTCAATTAAAACACCATTTTTTACCTTTGAAAGTACATTTAGGTACATATTATGCACCTCAACTTCATAAAAAACTCAGAAGTTTTGGCAGTCTGAAACACAAAGAAGTCTACTCTATTACACACCAAACATTCTGAAGGAATGCACAAATAAGTACAGTGATGTATTCTGTTACCTTATTTGACCATTTGTAGGCTTGAAGAAGTTGGCTGTAAAGAGGTGTTTTGTCCTGAACAGGATCTAGACTCAGTAGTCCACTGTTGTGCAGGGGGTGGTTCTCAGATGGTTTGCCAACTAGGTTGCTCAGACGCTCCAGTTCACTGAAAGAAAACCCAGTGGTATTTTTTTTAAGGCAGATCTGCAGATACAGATAAATCTAGATGTACAATCCCCCTTCAGGGACAGCAGTCATGCATTAATTCTATTTTAATATCTAAATGAGTTGTAAATGCCTCCCCAATTCAATAAAAACCACAGTCATTCATCCAAAGAATTTAAAGTGGTCTATTAAGTCTATTTATCTCCTTTGGAGATAAAGTCCAGTCAAAAGTCTTTGGATGACAATCCAGAAAGAGCCAAACTGTGGCAATCATGGAATCATAGAATGGGGAAGGTCAGAAGGGACCTTAAAGATCATCAGGTTCCAACCTCCCTGCTATGAGCAGGGACACCTCCCACCAGACCAGGCTGCACATGGTCCTGTTCACAAGCACTTGCAGGACCCGGAGCACCTTCCGGGCAATGCCCACCCTCAGGCACAGCAAAACTCTGACTTTTTTTAACCACCAAGCCAGCAGATGCCTCATCATTTCATTAAAGAACTAGAAATTAACACTGTCCTTATATAAATGTATAGAAAAACTGGTGTAAGTCCTAAGGCTGGAGATAGTCTCTCAAAGTTTGTGATTACTCTAAGCAAGTGCAAGCATTTCAAGCTCTCAGGGCAAGGAAAAATCTTCTGATTTCCATTTGTACACTTGTAGATGTCCATAAAGTACTGCACTAAAGAATAATAAGCACCATTTTCCCAAGGAAAAAAATCTCACTGTGAAATGATTTATTGTTTCATCTCTAATTTGTCAAACACTACATTTAATAATAACACAAGAAGTTTTTAAAACTTGCATTAATCAGCTGTAGAAGAAAGACTTGGCTACTTCACAGAGATATAAAATGCAGGTTCTCAAGTAACATGACTTATCAGGTGCCTTTCCTTTTGACTTGTCAACATTACATCCTACTCTGAACTTCAGAAATTCCACTAAACAGAAACAGGATTCAGACCCTTCAACGGGTGACTTCTGAAAATCTCTGTCAAGAAAAATCCCAAACACCTTAATTTATATCTAATTAAGGTTAGAGAAATAATCACCAACAATCAGGGAACTGACAGTTAAGAGACTTCCACACTTTAATAAAGGAGAATTTTGTGACAGTAATCATTCCTTTAAGTTTTGATGGCCTACACTCAGATTTCTAAGCCTCCGGTGCTATGAACACTCATTAATGTGCTTAATATTTCTTGACAAAAGAATACAACAAAATAAATGTGAATAGATATAATAACAGAGGATTTGTTGAACAGGGATCCCAGTCAATACCTTCATGACCTGAGCCAAATTCCACATTAACTTCAATGCACCTTGGAGTATTCCCTTGCTACTTGAAATCTGTGCTTCCCACACACAACAGAATATGTAACACTTGGATGCTATAAATGTTTTGATATTTAGGGCCATTATGTTTCAGAAAGACAAATTAAATATACACCAACATAACAAAGAGTTATCTTGCAAGGAATCAGGAAAGAAACAGTCACCAAAGGCCCGATAAGCATGTCCATTAATGCTGTGGAGGAGGTGGTGAAAAAGGAACAGGTGAAGTTTGATGATGAAGCTGCTCTCAGGTGTGGCAGTAAGGACAGGGTCTTTCTGCAAAGAATCCCTCAAAAACTTCACAGCACTGAAATACTGGATGATAAACTGCAAAGTAGAGCAGTGTAAAATACTACACATGAGATGAGACAGGTCAGAGCCAACTGCTACCTGTTATTCTTCGGGAACTAGATTTTGAGGTAATACCAGGCAATTCTTTAAAAAGCTACTGAGCAAGACAAGAAGGAGAACCAAAGGAACAGCACAGCTCCCACACAGGGAACCATGAAGTCTCCTTCATTGAAAATAATGAAAACCAAAGGGATAAAACAGAAGTCTATAAAGCTGTGTACAACATCATTCATAAGAATCACTATCTACCATCTTTCCCAACAGAGGGAAGAAGTAGACAACAAATTATATGACCACGATCAGAACAAGCTACAAATCAGCAAGACCTAGTTAGCCAGCAAGGAAGCTCTTGTACATAAGACCCTGAACACTAAAACTCTGGAGACCAGAAGATGTGCTGGGAAAGGGTAGTTACAGGCACCAGACAGTGCTGATGGCTCCAGGATACAGCCCAACCAAGGATCCACATGGACCATCAGCCTCAAATGTCTGTTTACATGAAACATACCAGCCTGCACTAAATACTAAGGTGTACTACTTATATGTATTAACTTTGCAGCCCTACAAGTTTTGGTAACAAAATGGTCACACTTGGACCACCGGACGCTACTGAACAGGCAGAGACTAAAAAAAAGGGAAAAGTTTACTTTTTTCATTTCGTTTTAATAAAAAAAAAGTCAAAGAACAGGAGAAAAACCCCCCTGCAGCCAAGCGCATTCACCTTGCCAACGCAACCCCAACGACAGCTCTTTTTAAAAAACAAAACGTGAACAAAACCCAGGTAAATATCAGGAGCAGAACTCATCCCTTTGGAGTGAAACACCAGGGAGGGCTGAGGCGCGCGGCGTCTGAAGGAATAAATCGCAGCGTTTTCGCATTTATATGCCTGAAACTTTCTCCGGCAGTGGAAACAGCCCCCGCCGGGGGACCCCGAGGCCCCTCTCCCTCAGGAAGCCCCCTCAGAGCCGGCTGCTCACCCCAGGTCGCGGCTGACGGAGTGCAGGCTCTCCTGGAAGGCGGCCACGAAGCCCTTCTCGCGGCCCTCCAGGGTCTCCTTGTTCCGCATCCCATCCTTCAGGCAGTCGAAGACGCGGGTCACGCTGGAGCGCAGCGCCTGGATGGCGGCGATGGCCTGAGAAAAGGCCTCCAGGTTCACCCCGGGGCTCAGCACCCCCTCCGCCATCTTGGCCCGGCCTCTCCCGCCGGGCCCTGAGCGGCGCGCCGGGGCCGCGCGGGGCACGCCGGGAAATGTAGTCCGGGCCCTGAGAGAGGCGGGAAAAGGCGCTTCCCTCAGGGGCTGGGAACGCGGTGAGCGGCACAACGGGTCGCTTTTATGCCATTTATCCTCTCTTTCTAACCTCAGTGGTGGCTTCTGAAGGAGGGAAGCTGGAGAGCAAAACTCAGAGCACTGCTCAATTAACGGGAGGAGGTATCCGGGCCCTTGTAGGTGGTAACCCGTGGGAATAGGGTGCAGCTCAGTGCGGTGGAAAAGCGCTGACCCTGAGGAGCAGGCAGGAAGAAGCCACAATAAATCTAAGGCTGTGTTACCAGAGGAATGCGCTAAGCCTGCGTTTAGATAAGGAAGCTTGCACTTAGCTGAAAAAGTAGCATTTTGACAAAGGCAGCCAACGAGGAGCTGTGCTTGGATCAGGACTGGAGCGTGAACTGGTTAAGGGAACCGATGAAACAGGAGCAGGATTCGCATGGACAGTGCAAATGTGTATAAAAGGCAGCCTGTGTATAAAATACACGACATTTTGTTTGCATCAAGCTGTGTCCCTGTGCACCCTGTGCTCACCCTCTGTGACAAGAGTGGCTGAGATGTCTGCCAGGCTCCCGGGCTCTCAGGACAATAAATGAGTACTGGTATGTGCACCTCTAAAATACCCCTCTCCTCTTCCTCAGAATAATTTTTTTTCCAGTGACATGTCCTCTTCTATTTTCCTGTGCTGTGCATCATTCTCTGACAATAATACAGGGTATTCCCTCTGGATGCAAAGGTCCCTTCCAACTCTAACCATCCTATGATTCTCTACAAGGATTTTTCCAGGCATAAAGGCAGATATAAAACTATCTAAAACAAGAATCCAGGGCCTGGTCCTGTTGCAACAGAAGCTTTCAGCAGACATTAATTACTTCTGTAAGCAAACTGAATTCAGATTTGAAAGTCAGGGCCCATGTTACTGTTCATGTCTCAGTCATGATCACTGCTACAATCAACAGGACAAGGACCCGGCCTTCGTTATCAAGTATTTGTAAAGCACTGAAAAGTCCAAGAGTGCTGTCATAGCACTGAGTATTACAAGTTGGATTTTGGATTTTTGCTGGTTTCTGAGGCCACTACCAGCTCTTTTCACCCTTAGAGTACAGGAAAAAAAAAAAAAAAGAAAGCGCTAAAATAAATGAAGTGCTGCTCAGGACAGGAGTCTCTCCACAGAGTAAATTGCCCCTGAGGGCTAGGTTTTTTGTTTTGTGAGCTTGTGAAAGAAATAATAACCTCTTTCATAAATGTATTAATTAAATTCAGTAAGCGAAATCCACACAGATTTTTATATATGTAAAATGGAAATGAATACGACAGGGGCTGACAGGTGTGTCAGTGGCCAAGTGAAGCGAGGCTTTGCCCTCTGCTCAGCAACACTATCCTGTCTATCATGCAACTGATTCTGAAGATTGCACCCGATCAATTAAATGTGCTCAGACAACATGCGAGGTATTGATAAGTGAAACCCTATTACTTAGCATGAAGAATGAGAAAATGAAAAGGCTGCGGTTCCACTTCTCTTGAGTTTAGTAATGCTGTTGTGTCTAAGTGCAGAGGTAAAGCAAACCTGGAAGCAATATGGTCTGAAGCAATGTAGTTCAGCCTACATAAACAGCGATATCTATAATGGTGTGTACATCAGAGAATCAGCAATGGACTGAGCACACTTAGTGAGGCAAATATGAACAAGATAGGAATAGTTATTTCTGAAAAAAAAAAAAAAAAAAGAGGCACTGTATCAAAGAATAGCAGCCAGAGGCAGAAAGGACAGGACTACCTCCACCAGAGGGGCAACCTAAACTGTATATGGATCTACATTAGTTCTGTTAGACACACAATACCTTTCTTTGGCCTATAATAGATTGGTCACAAAGGTCCTGTGGAAAGGGAATACTTGGAGGCTGAAGATCATTCCTGCATGGCATTATTCTTGCTTTCTTCCTCTCACTGCAATGTTCAGACTCCGGGTACACACTGCAGATGCCTGTAACTTGTTTCATATGTTATCTCTTGGAAATTATAATCATTTTCCATTTCTTGCCCTCTGATGCAAGGTTCTTTATTTTTAAACAGATATTTTCAGCTGTTAATATTGCATTTATTCTAACTATCTCCAAGATCCCTGTCATTCTGGGTCCCAAGTGCAAGGATTTCTGATTTTATATCCTAACTGGAACAGTAAAAGGGCTTGACAGTTGTTTTACTATTTTTAAACTGCAATGACAAACCAGTGGCCTGAAAAAAAAAAACCCATAAATACATAAGGAACCATTTGGAACTTGCCCCTAAAGAACAAAGAGCACAGCACAGTTTTGGCTTAGGAACTCAAAGGACAGTACATTGTTTGCTCGAGGGGTCTGCTTCTCCTTACATAAATGAGGAGCCAAGTTCTTCTGAACAGACAACAGGCAATTCAGAGCACTAAGAATTTTGTTGGCTCCATGGGGACAGACTCTGCTTCCAAACCTAAAGATAATGGCTAAAAAAAAAAAAAAGAGCAGGAGTTCCTGTTCCTCTGTTCCACATCCTCCTGTTTTGCCACGTCTAGAAGGAAAAGACTGCACAGTTTGGTGCGCTCACTTGTAAGGCTTTGCCTTGCCTAAGTTGCTCACTGCTTTCTTTCAGCAATATTCCTTCTGTGACAACTTGCCCACATGAAGGCAATATGCTAATTTCATCTTCATTAGAAGTATATTGTAAGTGGGCATTATGGATGTGAAATATGTTAAACTAGGATATCTCCAATCTTTCTGCCTTAAATTCACTAGTAAAATATAAAAGCATGAATCCAGCTGATGTTCAAAACACCCAGAAATCTTACTGACATCTGTTGAGTGGGCTCCTGCAAAATTATTTGGGTCACCCAGTATGGACAGGAATCCACATCTGAGCTGACATTCCCATCCTCTCTACCTTCAAGGACCTAGTGATCTCCCTCCAGAAAAAAAAACAAACCACACTTAGAGCGTATGGGTTATATCCACACTGCACAGTGTCACGATGAGAGATGCAAACAAGGAACCACAGTCCTGGAAGCAGCTCACACTGCTCAGCACTCTGACCAGGCTAATAAACCCGGCCTCTCAGCACTGCTAATTAGCTCTGGCAGCTCCCCATGCTAACAGTGATACCCCAGCCAGCCCAGTTCCCAGCACACACCGCCGCCCTGTGCCATGTAGAGTAAGAGATGGAACAGAGGAGACTGCAGGGAGCTGCCAGTTCTGGGTCTGCTCTGTGGATAAAGAGAGAATTTCATTTTGGGTGCTGTCAGTCTCAAAACGTACATAAGCTCTGAACTCACTTGGAGAGAAAGAGGGGGTTGGGGGAAGTAACAATCCAGCCTGGCATCACATGCAGCTCAACAGGAGAAGTACAGCTCTCTTCTGAAGCAGGAGCTTGGCTGGGGAGCGTGTAATTAAGATGAACCTTCCACAGCAAAGTGTGTTATGGCAATATTACTCACATTGCAGCTACTAAGAACCAAGTGGGCTGTAATTAATAGCAGCATCAAAGAAATGGGATGATTTCAGAATCCTTGCAGAGGTACTGTAAACAATTTGTTAGGGAAGAAATTGCCCAATTAGAAATGCATTCTCAATTAAGGGAAATTAATTTTGTTGTCAGGCAGGACAACTAATGGTGACTATTGGGTTTCATACCAAAAGCAGATAATCTGTTATGAAATGGCTGGACAGGAGTCAACATTTGGAATAACTGATATCATAAGAAATTATCTTTATCTTCCTCTGAGACAGATAAATGATGATATTTATTCTGTGACAAGCTGAGCTGATATTCATCACTATGGCCCCTTCATTTCTTCATACTTCATTGCTGCAATCTTGACAGCACTTCAGATAAATAAACTGTTGGGGTTTTTTTGTTCAAATAATTGTGATGTTCAGTAGCACGATTGATAAGATATTACTGCTATTTTTACATTCCTATTAATTCATTTCAGATTTTCACTCTTCAGTTAGCCACAAAGTTTACTACATGATGCATTATTGAAACAGAAGAGAAGCTGGAGGGGGGTTATCAACTCACCTCTGAGGCTTCTGCCAAGAGAAGGGAATACATCCTGCCTCCTTTCAGATAAGGTGGGAATGCCAAGACACTTTCAGATGTAGGGAAGCCTTGATCTTCAGTGCTATTTCTTTCCTGTTGTTCCCTGAATCAGAATCTCCCACTATATCCAACAATAGCGAGCAAAAAAAAATCTGATCTGAACACTCCTGCCAGAAGAAGCAGTGAAATAATGAACTGAGGTGACAATGATGTAGCTATCATCAGATTTCCTGTGGGATGAATGGAGTTAGCTCAGTATTGTTTCAGGCTCCCAGGCGACCTGGATCACATTCAAAAGGATCTTCCTCCCCCATATCATGGTATATGGAAAGCAGACCTGGATGCCTCCCAGTCCCCTTAGGGGCTCCCTGTAACTGTAGGAACTACAATTTCCAGGTGGCTCTTCAGTTCCTTATCCAGAGTGTTTTGTTTTGGTTTACAGTTATAAAGTGTCCACATCAGACACAAAATCCAGCTCATAACAGATTTGTCTGCACAACCAGTAAGGACTGGATGGATTATGACTCTTCAGTTCCCTCTTGTCTGCTGAAACTGGCGCCCTTGGTATCAGTTTTAAGATAATTCAAAGAGATCTGCTGTTATGCTCTGCTACTTCTGGAGTTTCAGTCCCTGGGGAAGTCAACACCTTATCCCAGCACTGAATTTACATGAGAAATGTAAAGCAAAATACAAAAAGTAAACCATACCCAGCAAAACTCACAATGTTATTTTATGCATGCGGAATTCTGTCCCAAAACACGTCAAATTTTACTTGCAAAAGGAAAAGGCTGCTGTTTTCTTCTGGATGTGTGCAATCTGCAGAGCAGTATACTCAGCCACTTCTTTAAACATTCAGTGATCAAGTG